TTTTTTGAAACCCACCACTGAGGGTACCTGTGTAGAGGACTGAACCATTCCAGATTTTGAAACTAAGCAGAGAGAGAAGGCCAAGAGGCAAGAAATATAAGAAGGCAGAAAAGGTTCAACTTGTTTTGGTTTCAATAAGGTTGGTTCCAGCCCCGTTCTGGTTTTGACACCTTTCTATGATCCTCAAGACATATACTCAGTAATTTCTGAAAGCCCTTTGACAAAAGATGTTCTTGTCAAAACAAAACAGTCCTGGGTCACAGGCACATTTTGAGAATTTGTATAAAAATTGGCGCCTTCTACGCACATACAGTGCACACCCACTCACCCACAAATAGATAGGTTTAGAGATAGCAGATAAGTTTAGAGAAGTTTCCTCACCTGACCTTTTCGTGTTTCGCAATTATGAAGGTAGCTCAGATGATAAATTTTCAGGTTCAAAGAGGCAAAATTGAGATACTTCAGGAATACCTGTGACATTAAAAAAAAACTTTGCTCAGTTATGCAACATATGATGATGCAGCTACATTTAAATGTAGATATTGGGGACTACAGAAGGTCTCAGAAGATGCTTTTCCAGGACTTACATTTTCATCTGCACTGGTGAAAAAAGGACCTCCGATCTTATTCACTGCCATGATCACAGCAACCACATCTTTGCCATTCATTATTGGTGTGGCAAGAATATTCTTTGTAGTAGACCCAGTGAGTTCATCAACAAATGTACTAAACTGTTGGCACTGTTTAAAAGAAAGAAAGAAAGAAAGAAAGAAAGAAAGAAAGAAAGAAAGAAAGAAAGAAAGAAAGAAAGAAAGAAAGAACACTTAACATCTAACCCAGTGGTAGTCAACCTGGTCCCTACCGCCCACTAGTGGCCGTTCCAGCTTTCATGGTGGGCATGAAATTTATAAATTTATAAAGTAAAATTACTTCCCTACTATATAAATCACCATTACTGTGGAACTGGTGGGCAGTTAGAAAATTTTACTACTAACAGAGATACAAAAGTGGGCGGTAGGTATAAAAAGGTTGATTACCCCTGAACTAACATAACAACCTAACACTTTAAAAAAAACAACCCCTTCTTAATACAGCATATACAATAATATAGAAATCATATTTGATTTTTTTTTGGTTCCTAAATTATCTTGGCATGACTTCTACTGTTAAAAACAGTGTTGTCGTGTAAGGTAGGTTGTCCTTTAGTGGTGCAATGACAGGGAGACATCAACGTGCAGGTCACACTGAATGGGAGGAGGTTTGACCCAAATTTGGAACTGATCTGCAGCAATATTCATCCTGGGGAAAAACCATCTTTGAGATTTTACAATGATTCTTCTTAAGTATCTGAGTCCAGCACTGCCTCTCCATGGACTCACAATCTGTCTCCTTCCATTTGCAAATTATATATTTACCAGTAAGGTTCTACTTGCTCTGTCCTTCAAAGTAAAAATTCACCACTTGTGGAAGCTCCTGTCGTAACATATTTAGAGGGTAGAGGTGGTATTCAGCCAGTTCTGACATGTTCTGGAAAACCGGTAGTGGAAAATTTGAGTAGTTTGGAGAATTGGCAAATAGGCTGGCCCTGCCCCTGTTGCCTCCCAGCCTCCCAGTTGATCTTCTTTGGTTGCCCTGAACAGGAGAACAGAGCTGGAAAGCAGGTTAGTGAGGTGGGGGGGAGGGAATGGGGATTTTGCAGTTTCCTTCCCCTGCCACGCCCACAAAGCCACGCCCACATAACTGGTAGTAAAAAAATTTGAATCTCACCACTGCTAGAGGGCATTCAATTGGGGAAGGGTAAATTACACAACAAAGCCTATTTAAAATGTCACACCTCAGGGAAAGGGGAATCAAACTGGTTTTAACTCCACATGGAAGGAACTATTTGTTTACCTTACCTACTGTATCCTACCTGCAGGTCTGTGATGAGCAAATGACCCAGTTATGAAAGCGTACTTAACAATGACATAATCCCAGCAGAAAGCATTTATGGACTGCAGGGATTTGAAATTAATAATACTGACTTGTGTGTGTGTGTGTGTGTGTGTGTGTGTGTGTGTGTGTGTGTGTGTGTGTGTACAGATATGATAGGACACAATCTGGATTTTAAGACTGGGAAGAAGTTTAATATATTTGTGCCATATGGTGGCAAACATTTGTCACGTGGGAGGGAATGCAACTAGTCTTCCTCACCTTATGACCACAATTGAGTCCTAAATTTCAGCTAAGTGAGACAGTTGTTAAGTGAATTTTGCTCCATTTTACAACCTTTCTTGTCACAGTTGTTCAGTGAATCCCTGCAGTTGTTAAATTAAGTCAATCTGGCTTCCCCATTGACTTGGCTTGTCAGAAGGTCACCAAAGGGGATTACATGACCCAGGGACACTGGAATGATCATAAGTAAGAGTCAGTTGCCAAGTGTCCGAATTTTGATCATATGACCATGGAGATGCTGCCACGGTCATAAGTGTGCAAATGGTCATAATTCACTTTTTTCAGTGCCATTGTAACTTAGAATAGTCATTAAATAAACTGTTGTAAGTTGAGGACTACCTGTACTTTTGTTTTTGTCAGGTTCTAACAATCAGACTCACATGTGTGGAATTCAAAGAAGCTACTTTATTGTTGTAGGTCTACTCTACAGGAATCTCCCCAGACTGATAGCTTTCCCCTGGGAAAGACTAGATAAAGCTCAATAGCATTCAGGATGGAGTGGGGGGGATCAGACCTTGACTCTCATGTTTACCCAAGGATTCCATGCTAATTTCCCCCTTGGGTCCTCCTCCCAATTGGCATGGTTGCTCTCCAACAGTTTTCCACTCAGGTACTTCCCTGAGGACACTATTCCTAGATTGCTACAACACTTTTGTTGATTCCACTCCATTGTCCTTGGTTAACCAAGTTAATTTACTTCCAGACCAGTTGCAAGACAGCACATGGAAATGTTCTTGTTTCTAACTTGAAAGGCTGATGTTCTGAGGAGCTTAAGTGCAGGTGAGTCATTTTCCATTGTCAGGAATTTCCATTCATCTCTCTTAAGCTCTCCCCCTCCCACCCTCATTTAGGAGTATCTATTTCTTTTCTTAGCAGGGAGATGGGTCTTGACATCTTGTTGGCTTCCCCTTCTTAGCAACAGTAGTGTTTATCCAATGAATAGCAACAGTAGGGACACAGTGTTCTTCAGATGATTAGCTAGAAGGTTCTCAACATTTCAAGTAAACCTGGTGAGCTTCAACCTGTTTCTTGGAGAGGGAACCCAGTAGCAGTGTGGAAGTGCTTTTGAAATGAAAATGATGGCTATCTTGTGATGTAGTCACACCCTTCTCACTTGAAAAACTTTTCTTAATCAAACTGGTATTAGCAAATTATATCTGAAAATCATTTGAACGTGATTAAATTTTTTAAGTTCTTTAAAGAATTAGAAAGAGCCCTTTATTATTGGGCTAAATAACCATCTACTTAAATGTCTGACCACTAATAGGAGAAGAGCAATCCCCAGTCCATGCTTCCAAACACCAGGCATCTAGAGGCATGCTCCTTCGTGTGCACCAATCATAATTCACTAACTCAGAACCCGGTAATTCTTCAAAATTATCTGATGATAGAATTTTCAGTTTGGTTGCTTGAACAAGATAGTTCTGGTGATGTTTCACTGACCAAGAAAAGGAGATGTTCACCCATAGGAGCTCGTTTAGATGACAATGAGCTGGTTTCACTCAACCTACTTCCCCTTATACTTGAGGGGTGAGAGTAAGGTAGGACGTTTGTACCCTGTTTCCACGAAAATAAGCCCTCCCCCAAAATATTGCAACACAGCAGCAGCCATGAGGTGACCATGCTCGCCGCCTCCTGCACCTCAAAAATAATAAGACCTCCCTGAAAATAAGACCAAATCTTATTTCAGGGGGTCAAAAGAAAATAAGACCCTGTCTTATTTTCGGGGAGACACGGTATATTCATTTGCAGCAAAAAGTCATTCTGGGCTGGAATTAAGAAGGTAGATATAGAACTGATACCTTGCAAGAAGCCCTAAACTGCTATGGGGTCTCTTGAAGATTCCATATGGCCTGAAAATTTAATGGGTAACCAGTGCTGTGAATCACTCTTTTTAGGTTCAACCTGAGTCATTATGTGAGATGGGCAGCTATATAAATGTGATAAATACATTTTTAAATAACTTTATGTAAGTCTATTATGTGAATGTCATCATTCCCCCCCCCCCAAATAATAATCCATCCATTGTGCAAGAGAAGCTCAAAAGATGCTAAACCTCCCATCAATGGACATACCAGTTCAGAGTCAAAGTTGACAGTTTTAACCTCCATATCATCCCTACAGCAATATCCATATTTTCTCCAATTTGTTTGATATAACCCCTCACTCCAAGCCATCCAGTATGGCAGAGATAGTCAACTGAATTGATATGGCATTGGAAAGGAAGGTATGGGGAGGGAAAAGTGGGAGGAGATCAGCAATGCATCATTTGGCAGTCAAGAAGAATCCACAAAGAAAATACAGGAGGAAAAATGCAAACTGGTAGAAAGAAGGAGCAAACCAGTGGTTTGGAAGCACATTCCACATGTACACAATAACAAAATGCGAATAGCAGTCTAGCCAGAAACATGAAGACCAAAGAAGGCAATTTAAAACGAATGAATAGATCAAAAGAAAAACAGAGAACCCCCCCAAAAATAACATTACAAAGATAATAAATAAGAGAACAATCTCCAGAGAAGAGGGAGCCGACAAAGCGTCTTGCTGTGCTAAACCACAGCAAGAGAATGGAAAAATAGATGAACACACGAGGAATGTAAACACAATTATTCTGTTTTTCTTATTGTTTCTAGATGTGTAAAAGGCTTCTGATGCTACAACTCATGACATGCGACAGATCTTTGATTTAAAGAGCTGCTGCTGTTGTTCTATCTAGGCACGTCAAATAGAGAAATAGATACACAGCCAACCCCCCTCCCCATAATAAATAAGCCTCTACAGTGGTACCTTGGTACTCATCATTAATTGGTTCTGTGAGGCACAATGAGTGCCAGAAACAATGAGTACCAAACAAATTTTCCCCATAAGGAATAATGTAGTGAGTCACAAGGCAGCCAACACCGACAAGTCTAGCCTGTGCATTGAGTACCAAACAAATGATGAGTACAGGGTCAAAATTTTCATATTAAAATGCATTGAGTACCAAATTCGATCAGTTTCAAAGCAGTTAAGCACTAAGGTACCATTGTATTATATTTGTTGTTTTTTTTCTATGAAGAACATGAGCAGACAGTGCTGGATCAGAACAACGGTCTATCCAGCATTTTGACTTGGCCAGGCAGATGAATCTAATAAACCAAGTTCATGACATAAGGACAAGTCTTCGCTCTACTGTTGCTTCTAACCAATGGAAGTTAGGCTATGTTGCCTTCAATTCAGGGGATGATAGCCAATCAGCAAGTTTTGTCCTTTGAATATCCAATCCCATGTGACTGTCTACTCTTCCTTTGAAACTTACACTTATGGCTACCAGGGCATTTTGAAAAAGCAATTTACTTAATTTAACAAACAACTGTCTGATGTTCTTAATTACTTCTGAATCTCTTACATTTTAAGTCATTGGAACAAGTTGCCTCCAGAAATTGTAAATGCTCCATCACTGGAAGTTTTTAAGAAGAGATTGGATAACCATTTTCTGAAATGGTATAGGGTTTCCTGCCTAAGCAGGGTGTTGGACTAGAAGACCTCCAAGGTCCCTTCCAATATTGTTATTCTATTCCATTCCATTCTATTGGACAAAACATTTTCTATTTTTAACTCATTATGAATTATTTTATATCTTGCCATAGAGATATTTTCTTGGGCCAAACATAGGCAACCTGATGATCTCCATAACAATTCCCACAATGCTAAGGAGAGGTAAAGTTGGTATTAAGTTGCCTATTTTGATCAAAAAGGCGATATTTTTTTCATTAAGGGCAGCTGTATCTAAAGGGCTTCCAGAAAGTCCACAAGGAACTGTCAGATAAAAACAAACTTCCTACTAAACAATTTCATCTCCCTGTAACTTAATGAACACATCCATGAAATTTTCTTGCAGGCGATAGGAAAGCAATTTGCTAACTATCTTTTTCGGGGGTATTTCTGCAACTTTTCAATGTAGCCTTGGTCTCTCAAACATATACTGGCCAGGACTGATCCTACTTACTGTTTGAGATCAGCCAAGGGCGGCTAGGTGCTGTTGCTAGTCCCTAAATCATAGTGAAAGAATCCCTGTCTTCTTAAAACCCTTCTGAAATATGAACACTAGTTAATTTTTATTCTTTGGCATTTATCAATATCCTGCTTTTCCAAAAAGAAGACCTCCCTGGTAAATAAGCCCAATCGGGCTTTTGAGCGCATGTGCTAAAATAAGCCTGCTCCTGAAAATAAGCCATCCCCCAAAATATTGCAACACGCTCGCTGCCTCATGCACCTCAGAAATAATAAGACCTCTCCGAAAATAAGGCCAAGCCCTTATTTCAGGGGGGTCAAAAGAAAATAAAACCCTGTCTTGTTTGGGGGGAAACATGGTAACAGAGTAAACTCAACCCTTACCTCAAGAGCATTCTGGATGTTTATGGTCTTCTTGGTCTGAGCAACATGGCCCAATACACCTGTGTCCAGTGGAAAAACAATTTCACAGTCAGAGGTCACCAGACATTCTTCCAAGGTGCTGTCCTTATGGACATTGAACAGCCGGCTAGCCAGCTCTGGAGTGCCATTTCGCTGCCTGTACATAAACAGACTGCACCACGCAGCATTGATGAGAGCACTGATTCTTTTGAGGGTCTTGAAAACCACCTTCTCCATGTTGATGCTCTCCTGCATGTCTTGTATCAGCTCAAAAAGAGTTTCTGTTTCTACAGGGTCCATTCCCTCAAAACCTATGCTATCTTCAGAGGACAGTTCACCGTTCATCTTGGGACAGAAGACTCTGTCCTCCAGTTTCTTCTCGAAATACTGCTTGGCAAAATCTGGATTGCTATCCAAGAAAGTTTCAACTTCCTTTTTGTTGATGCTCATGATGGGAAATTCTGATTCTGGAGCCTTTAGGCAATGGCTGTGCAGAATAACGTGGTCCCACAAGTACAGTGTTTGTGTAGAGTGTGGAGATTATAATCAACAAGGCAATTATCCAACAACAAGCTATTGTTTTGACCAGGGTGTGGGAGAGCAGATCTTCTTAACCAAGCAGCTTAAATGACTGGTTTCAAATAAGGGCGTATGTATATGTGATTATGATTTCCCTCCTCTCCTAACGGGGATAGTAGAACTGAAATAAGCTTCTTGGAGTCTAATTAAATACACATAGCTCAATTGTAATCCTTAGCCAGTCAGTTCCCTATCTAATTACACCTGCTCTTAGCAGGAGTGTATCTAGTCAGGAAAAACTAATTATAAATGGACTGACATAGAAATGGCCAGAAGAGGTTGTATTTTCACTAGGAAATGATGACCTATTTTTTGATGGAAGAGCTGGCTCATTGTAGGCTGGCCATGGGTTGGATTTCTGCTTAAGGCATTAAAATACATTATAGCTTCTCCTGCTTGGATAATCAACAAAGAGAGAAGCACACATATCAGTTATCAGTATATTATCTGAAATGAAATAATCTTGAGTCAGGTGCAAAGGAAGACCTTGTTCCTTTCAATTCTGCAGAGCCAAAGCTCTCCCAAAATATGAGGTTTAGTTCTGGACCAGTGGTGGGATTCAACATTTTTTACAACCGGTTCTGTGGGTGTGGCTTGGGGGCATGGCTTGGTGGGCATGGTACGGGAAGGATACTGTAAACATTCCTAGCCCACTCCTGGGGAAGGATACTGTAAAATCTCCACTCCCTCTCTACTCCAGGGGAAGGATACTGTAAAATCTCCATTCCCTCCCCACTCCTGGGGGAAGGATATTGCAAAATTTTCCATTTCCTCCTGATCAGCTGGGATTCGGGAGGTAGAGAATAGTTGGGAACGGGGCTAGTCAGAGGTGGTATTTCCCGATTCTCCAAACTACTCAAAATTTCTGCTACCAATTCTCCAGAATTGGTCAGAATCTGCTGAATACCACCTCTGTTCTAGCCTTCTTGGAAAAATATTGACAATTTTGAATGTCTCCAGAGGAAAGCATATTAGATGGCCAAGGACTGGAAGAAAACTCTCACATATAATAGAAGGCTTGGATATGTCTAGCTTGGAAAAGCAAAGTCTTGATAAAAGGCAATGGGGCATTACAGGTGTCTGCAAGGTATCAAAAAAGCTTAGATGGGGGTGATGGCCCTGCCCACTTTTCATATGTGACCAAAACATTTCCTTGTTTCAGAGTGTTTTGTTTCTTCATCAGTCCATTAGATGGCACTACAACTCAACAATTGCAATTTCAAAGGCTACTTCCCTCAGCAAAATCTTTCCTTCCAGCACATGTTGAAAATCCAGAATTAAATTAGGATGTACAAATCACTGAAGACCAAGGCATGTTAATCCTCAGCTTTGCTCAAGATCATTAAATTGAAGTATATGCATCATAGTCAGAAAATTGAATCCCAAGAAACAGCAGAGACTCAATTTGGGCCAGTTCTGCAGTAGCAATAACAGTAGCACTTAGATTTATATACTGTCCCATAGTGCTTTATAGCACTTTCTGGGTGGTTTACAATGTCAGCATGTTTGTTATTGTTGTTGTTGTTAGCTGGGAAGTTGTGTCCAACCCATCACAACCCCAAGGACAATGTTCCTCCAGGCCTTCCTGTCCTCTACCATCCTTTGGAGTCCATTTAAACTCCATCCAGCCACCTCATTCTCTGTCGTCCCCTTCTTCTTTTGCCCTCAATCTTTCCCAGCATTAGGCTCTTCCCCAGTGAGTCCTTCCTTCCTTCCATCAGCATGTTACCCCCAACAATCTGGGTCCACATTTTACCAACCTCAGAAGGATGGAAGACTGAGTCCACTTCAGTAGTTTGAAGCAAACTGGGACTGAACTCAGCTAGAATAGAATAGAATAGAATAGAATAGAATAGGAGCTGGAAGGGACCTTGGAGGTCTTCTAGAATAGCCCACTGCTCAAGCAGGAGATCCTATACTATTTCAGACAAGTGACTGTCCAGTCTCTTCTTAAAAACTTCCAGTGATGGAGCATCCATGATTTCTGAAGGCAAGCTGTTCCACCGGTTAATTGTCCTCACTGTCAGAAAATTTAAGTTTCTCCTTAATTCCAGGTTGCTTCTCTCTTTGATTAGATTCCAACCATTGGTTCTTGTTCTGTCCTCTGGTGCTTTGTAGAATAATTTGACCCCCTCTTCTTTATGGCAGTCCCTCAAATACTGGAACTAGTTTGATCTGAATCTGGATTTCAAGAAGCTCAATCCAATTCATAACATTAAGCTGCTAAACAGCTTCTGTAAAAAAGGTCTTAACTTCTTAAGCAAATGCCAAATAATGGAGACAAATGATAGAGACAATTGGGTTCAGTAATTGTCAAAGCTCACTTCATATCAAAGGGATCATACTACTAATGAGACCACTGAGGTCAACCAAATCATAGTGGAATGATAATTAAGTCTATTATGATTTGTTTCATGCATATCTTTATAATTTCTCACAGTGCCCACTATGAATAGTGTCGGTTGTCTTATGGTCCCACAATTATTTACTGGTGTTTAAATAAAGCTCACTACCTTAAATGACTCCTTTTTTTCTTACTTTATTCTTAGATGGCATGATTGTCAAATCTTGTTAATCAAGTCACTTCTGGAAATGTATACTTGCAAATAATTAAGTAAAAGACTTTATATATTGCCTCCTTTCTCCCTATCTCCAAAAACGGCTCCATATTAATGGGTCTTATCAAGGAATATTGCTATCTGGAATGTTATTTCCTTGAGCACATTTTACATAAAACTCCTGTTCTTCTTTCTGAGAAATTTGATATGTTGTTTCACAGTGAATGAATATCTACAGTAAATGTCATTATATCTATCCCCAATTGACCAAAAGTATATACAGCTGGTCAGAGGTGGTATTCAGCAGGTTCTGATCAATTCTGGAGAACCGGTAGAGGAAATTTTGAGTAGCTTAGAGAACCAGTAAATACCACCTCTGACTGCCCCCCCCCCATCTATTCTCCGCTTCCCGAGTCCCAGCTGATCGGGAGGAAACAGGGATTTTGCAGTAACCTTCCCCTGCCACACCCACAAAGCCATGCCACGCCCACAAAACTATGCCCACAGAACCGGCAGTAAAAATTATTGAATTCCACCACTGCAGCTGGTCCTCAATTTACAGCCATTCATTTAGTGACCATTTGAAGTTACAGTGGTACTGAAAAAGTGGTTTATGGACGTTTTTCACACTTATGACCATTGCAACATCCCTAAGATCATGTGATCAAAATTTGAATGCTTGGCAACTTGGTTTGTATTTATGATGGTTGGAGTGTCCTGGGTCATAGAATCAGCTTTTGCAACCTTCTGACAAACAAAGTCAGGAGAAGCCAGATTCACTTAACAACTATGCTACTCAAATCAAATCAAGTTCATTACAATCAAGGACCAGAGAGCAGAACAAATAAAAACATTCAAGGAATATCTAGTTAAAAATTTAGAATAAGGTAAAAAAAAAACCTAGATAAAATTTATATTAAAATCACAAATTGGCATCCAACCTGTCAGTTACACATGACCTAACTATGCTATACTATCAATCCTATAGCTATGGTGGATTATCTTATCGTGCTCTCGGCGACTCTCCAGTGTCGCTACACAGAATCCAGCTACCCGCGTTATAATCACAGTCTAAAAAACTACTAACAGCTGTAATTACTTAACAACTGGCAAAGTTTGCCATGAATGGGACAAAATGCACTTAAGAAATGCCTCACTTAGCAACAGACATTTTGGGCTTAATTTTGGTCATAAGTCAATGACTACCTGTACTTTTTTCTTCTTCTTTTACATGAAAGATAGAATTGGGTTCTTCCCATACTAGATAATGGGAAGCACGAAGCTTCAAATTGCACTTTAAATCTGGAAGGCTGAGGACTGAGTCCAAATAGAGTTGGGACAATTCCCAAATTCTGAAGCTGGTTTCCAAACCGTACCCCGCGATCTGTACATGACCCTAATATTATTGATTGATCAAATAACAATATTAATACTTATTTGGGTAGTCCATCCAACAAACATGCCCAATAAATTATTTTAAGTTCCCATTTGATAAATCGGTAGATTGAGACAATTGCTGTCATCCCGAGATCAATTTCAATCATCTCCACAGACATATATTTGTCCAGCGAGATGACCTGAGGTTGTTTTCTTTCTCCCTGTTTTATACTAAATAGTTCAGATTTGTGGTTGAGGATCATTCTCTATGGCGTTCTCAATCATTTTCCAATCCACTATTTAGCTTAATGTCAAATGTTTGATTTTGGTCTCGCTATAAAAATATTAATTCCAAATGCCTTATACTCTATTTGCTCACATTTGGAAAAGAGGGAGTTTTGTTCTGATGCCTTGGTTGAAAGAGTCCTGGTGATGCAGCAGTGGTTAGAATGCTCTACTGCAGGCTAACTCTGCCCACAGACTGGAGTTTGATTCTGATGGATTTCAAGGTTGACTCAGATTTGCATCCACCCAGAGTTGGTAAAATGAGGACCCAGATTGCTGACATTGTAAACTGCTTTAAAAACATTTTGGAGCAGTATATTACATATTAATTCTAAGTGCTATTATTATTCAAATGTCCATTCAAGTGCCCAATCCAAATACTATCTATGCTTATGGTAAACCTTCTTGGGCCTGAGGGACAGCAGTAAGCTGATAAAGCCAAAGTCTAGTTGCCACACTTCCCATCCATCTCTGGACCTTCATACCAGAGGTGGTATTCAGCAGGTTCTGATCAAATACCACCTCTGACTGGCCCTAGCCCCATCTATTCTTTGTCTCCTGAGTCCCAGCTGATCAGGAAGAAATGGGGGTTTTGCAGTAACCTTCCCTGGAGTGCGGAGGGAATGGAAATTTTACAGTATCCTTCCCCTG